CAAGCAGCAGCTTAACTACAGCTTCATGCCCGTTCTCTGCTGCCCACTGTAGCGGCGTCTTTCCACTATAATCTTTCATATCAACCTCGACCTTGCCTGTATCAAGTAGCAGCTTGACAACGGCCCCGTGCCCGTTCTGTGCCGCAATCCATAGCGGCGTTTTTTGGAAGAGCATATCCTTCGCATTAACGTCGACCTTGCCCGTCTCAAGCAACAGCTTGACTACAGCCCCGTACCCTTCCTCTGCCGCATTCCATAGCAGCGACTGTCCATTCTTCTTCTTCACATTAACCTCGACCTTGCCCGTCTCAAGCAGCAGCTTGATTATAGCTTCCTTCCTCTGTATTATTGCCAAATATAGCAGCGTGTCTCCCAAGCAATTCTTCGCATTAACGTCGACCTTGCCCGTCTCAAGCAGCAGCTTGACTACAGCCTCGCGCCCGTACTCTACTGCCCACTGTAGCGGCGTGTATCCACGGTGATCTCTCATATCAACCTCAACCTTGCCTGACTCAAGTAGCAGCTTGACAACGGCCCCGTGCCCGTTCCGTATCGCCATGCATAGCGGCGTGATTCCAGCATTATCCTTCACATTGACCTCAACCTTGCCTGTAGCAAGTAGTAGCTTGACAATGGCCCCGCACCCGTTTTCTGCCGCAATCCATAGCGGCGGTCGTTTGGAGCGCATATCCTTCGCATTGACATCGACCTTGCCCGTCTCAAGCAGCAGCTTGACTACGGCCTCGCGCCTGTACTCTACTGCCCGCCGTAGTGGCGTGTTTCCTTCGAGATCTTGTAAATCTGGATCAACGCCATCTTGCGCAAGGAGTAGTTTTACTACTCCATTGTAGCCGTTCCCTGCCGCCCATAAAAGTGGCGTGAGACCCTCCCAATGTCCCAGCTTGTACGACTCCCGTTCTTCAAGTTCCATATCATAGCCCTTCACTACTTCTCGAAACTTTTCTTCTGCCTTTTCATACGCTTCCGCGTCTGCTAATATCAATGCAAGGTTCCACGTTCTAGTCATCTTGTCCAAGTGGCCTTCTAGCTCCGTCTTTTGAGACTCTGATACGCAATTGTTTGTTCGTACAAAGGTTTCGTATTCTCCTGGATCTTCTAGCTTCTCTGAGAAGTTTCTCCAATCCCAGGCAAGTAGAAAATCGCGGGCGAGGACTGTTTTCCAGGTGTATAGGTCCGTTGGAGGAGGAGTAGCTGCAATCATAACAATGGCAAAATAATCTTTGCATGGTCTGACGATTGTAGTCTTTGAAGCTCCTGGAAGAAGGCAGAATATATCTCCTGCTTTAATGAGTATTGCCGAGAGCTGGAGAATCAAGTGAGTCTCCGAAAGTCCTCTTTGTACATCTAACCAGGACAGATTCTTGAAAGTGACATACACGTCCTGTTTGTCATCCAGAACACTAGTCGATACCCTTGATACATGGCCAAGAAAGAAGCCCTTGCTCTTAATTACTGCAATGTCCTCGTCTCCCTGGGTCTCCACAGATATCTCTTCAGAGAGCAGAAACTTAACCAGTCGCCGCAAGAGTTCCTTCCATGGAACTTCGTAGTTAGGCGACAGGCCAGCTTTGTTGATATCATCAGAGGTCATGCCGAGCAGGGCATACACCTTGTCGTGGCGATTGGTAGCCTCATGTGTATGGTACGTATCTATGAGCTGACCCAGTGGTTCTTGAGAAGCCCGGTCTAACCCGTAGCTCGGCCTAAAGATAGCTCCTTTGATCAAGTAGGTCACCGAACGGATCAAACTCTGCAAGCCTGCGCGAGCTTTGTATAAGTCCTTGAGTGAATCCACACCTAAACAGAAGGCGTGTCCATCAATCTCCGTGGCGCCACACATAATTAGGATATGTCGGGCTACGCCAACTTCCTGAAGTATCTAGATTGGCCTTTTAGCGATCTATACGAATGTTGAGTGTGTATTCACTTACCCAGATGCGCCGAAACCATGGTCGTTGAAGCAGCGCGAGAATTGCTTCCCGAATCAAGTCGTTGTTTGGAGAGTCTTGCCGAATCAAATCGTTGTTTGGAGAGTCTTCCGACTTCTTGCCTCCAGCATCGCGTATTTTTTCGAGCGCTAGGCTACTACTGTTCGCCGCCTCTCCAAGCCAAACAACTACGCGGCTTGCTTGATGATAGATCCTCGCCATGAACGGAATCTGTTGCTCTTTCTCGTTGACATTTTCTTGGTTGATACAAAGAGCATCTACCCATAAAATTCGTTCAAAAGAGCGATCTCGAAGATGTACCAGTGCCGCGTGAAGGTTTGCCTTAACGGACAAGACATACCCGTCTATAAAGACAGGGATAGTCGTGTTTTCATCACCCCATACGTAGGATAATGCCTCGTACCGGTGAGACTTTATGTCTGGTGCTAGAGAGTAGTTGAAGAGCTGGCATTTGATAGCGGCGGTAGCGTCTTTACTTGGAAGTAGACGAAGCAAGCGAATGGTGTCGTTTCCTTGAGGGATCGAAGTATAGCGGTACGGGATTCTCTTTGCGACCTGACGATAGAGCGCGACTGCTGATGCAATGAAAATGCAGAGGTAAAGCGGAACCCATATAGGGTCCTTCATCTCTTCGAGTACAAGTCTGGCCTGGTCTGAGAGCTTCGGTGAGTCTTGTGAGTAGTGGGTTGCGGGGTGTGTAGGGTTTTGTGTGGGTTGAAGCGGAGTCGGGAGGGAATAAGGCAGCCGCAGCTGAGTCACCTCAGTAAACTCAGAGCCCTACTCTACGAGGAATTGGCGCCTGCTAAAAATGCAGCCCGTTAAAAATGCAGCCCGTTGTGCAGCCTATTGTGCAGCCCGGTTCCACATTCCATCTGAGGTTATGCACGCTGCAGGCGAATTCCTCGTAGAGGGTCTGAGAGCAAATGGGCGTGGTTTGTATGGAGCGGTCGCATTTTTTAGCATTTTTTTCAGGTTAATATCCACACAGAGGGTCTATTATCTCAGTGCGCGATGCATCTAAAAGAGCAAGAAAAGGCGGTTTGAATAGAGGCATTATTAGGTTGTAGAGTGGTGTATTAAGGGGTGATGTACAGCGTTGAAGCTGAGCACTTTCAAGCAACCATTTTGTATGGGGGCTTGGCGAAAAATGAATACGTGTTAGAAAAATCATCTTTTAACTTCAACGCTGTACATCGCACCTTAATAAGGTAGGTAATTGTAATTCTAATGCATCGCGCACTAAGATAGTAACTAGTGTGGTTATGGAGATGCAGCTGTTTAAAAATTGCATGCGTTGAAAAATGCACCCGGGTTGTATACAAACTGTGCTCATCTGCACTCAGATGCTTCGCGGTTAAACTTTAGGGGCACGTAATGGATTTTAGGGGGGTGCAGGGGCCTGTGTTGTGCAAACCGCCACCAACCGCCACCAACCGTCAAAAGTTGCCGGTTAAAAGTTGCCCAAAAGTTTCATGCGCACCACACTCGCGAGAACGTCCCGATCTACACAACCTCTTCCTCTCCCATTACTCTCCGTCCACTCTCCGCTCCACTCTCCGCTCCACTCTCCGTCTTACTCTCCGGACTCCTCGTCTCCTGGCTTCTTGGCCCACCCTTCACATCTACAGACCCAGACTCCCTCCTCTTTTTAAGATACGGTTCGACATACGGTTCGACAAAGCCAACACTCTCTCGATCCCTCTTCTGCCCCGTCTCCAACACTAGTGCCGTCCTAGCGCCACCACCACTTGCTAAATCACTTTCAGATACTGGCTGCAGAGTCGGCAGTTGCGGACCCAGCTGCGGCGGCAGGCTAAATCGTGATCTCGAGCTGCCAGAGCGGCGGTGGCTAAAAGACCTGTTGCGGGGCGCGGGCCCGGCATCGGAGTGTTAGTGATGGAGATGAGGCGCATGCGGTTGCGGATAGTATTGCGGGTTTTGCGTTTGCGGGATGTTCGCGGGCGTGAAATGCGGCATTACGGGACGGCCGCTAGGAGGCGAAGGTATATCAGTACCAGCAGCGGAAGGGTGGAGCTGGAAGACGGGAGCGTTAGCGTGGGTGCTCATTTCTTGCTCGCCCAGCTGCCAGTGCATGCTCTCAGCGGACCTCCAAGGGATTCGCATCTCTGAAGCAATCTTTTGCCACATCTGGTCCTTGAATCTGTTCAGTATGTTAGTTAGGGTTCAATGTATTGGTGAAGGGGCAGTGAGAAAGTAGGGAGGTAGACTCAAGGCGCTATGAAATGCAATATTTGCAGCATTGCGTATCGTGTTTTTCAAAGGGTGGCGGTTAAGGAGGTACCTACCGAGCGTAAAGCCTCGCGAGCTTGTCTTTTTTCTCCTCGTCCCAGACTGCGCGCTTCTCGAGGCAATTCTGGTATCAGAGTTGGCAAGCGATGGCTGATCGTCCTAGGAAGTGCTCTGCTATGTTGTCCCATTTCATTTCTGTTCCTCTGAGCTCGATGATTAGATTATCCTCCTCTTAACCCCATTTCGACTGTCTCTTGGCTGGGCTTTCCTCTAGCGACGCTGCGCGCCTAATGGGTGGGAGTGGAGATAAATCATAGGATTGTGTCAGAAGTGCTGTGCCTAGTAGGTCAGGTTGCACGTACGGCCGGAGAATAGACAACAACTACAGTACCGGTCCACCTTGCATCGATGGAGCAGCTGGAGAATTAGTAGCATGCAAGAAAGACGGTGTGTATGTGCTTATCATTCCTGTAGACGAAGCTACTAATGTAGTACCTTTCGTACTTTTGGTCCTCTTCTTGCTCGATGGAGACTCGGAGCCTCAAGGCTCGAGCAGTAGATTAATATCCACGGCGGCTGATGTGGGCCCTGGGCCAGCCCTTTCATAATTAACAGTGCTGTTCTTTCCTTCTCAAACTACACAAGAGAGTTTCGAAATAGCAGGAAATGATAGTTCGGAGAATCGTCAATGGCCAAGTACCGGAATTGGATGTGTAATCGCCGAGAGCTCGATGAAAGTTCCCATATTCAACTTTGGGGACGTGAACGCTCAAGTTAGGAGGGAGACTATATATAATTCAGGTCAAGCTGCACTCACCCAAGCGCTACAGTACTTAGCGCCGAAGCTGCCGAGGCGGTCGCTGCGCCGCATGATAGCTGTATCTAAACAAGGACTTTAGGATTTTCGGTCTCACGTAGGTTCATCTAGTAGAGGATCACTTGGCTGGTTCCAACAACTTGAAAGCGGTGTGGAGTGGACAGGAATCTGCGCATCGCGGCCGTACATTATCGTAAGCCAAATATTGGATGAATTTGCGACATTCAATGGTGAGGGGTCACTATAGCAAGACAAGAGTGTTATGGGACTAAGTGTTTATAGACCTTCACCATCGCCAGCAAAACCTGCATGCATAACTAGGCCCATCGCCAACCCGTCGGCGCCCAACAGTGTAAAAAAATAAGGCAAACAGCAAGGCAAACAGAAACCAGCCTCCTTTCTAAACTGTACTGAGCCTGGCGGACAGCGATAGCACTACACTCACCCCAGGCGGTGGCATCATATTTTCCTTCCTAAACTTTCGAATTCCCGACCTCGATGTCTATGTCGAAGTATACGTCGAAGTCTATGGTAACCCTAATTATATACTATGAATGGTCAGATTAATTACAGGCTAGTAGGAGGTACATACATCTGCATTCACGGGGGTTAATGCGGGCGTACGGGGAACATGTTGCTCTTTTTATCATCCAATAGAAGAGTTAGGCCCTAGTCATCGCCGTCTGTCAGGAAGGAGATGCAGGGAGCCTAAGAACGAGGCGCGATGTCGGAGAGGAGACTCGAACCCATGATGGTTATATCAGCCTTAAAGAAGGCAACCAGTGAGGGGTAATACGGTAAGGCGACGAGTTTAAAAGAAGGCAACCGGTGAAGAGTGAAGTGGTAAGGCAGCGAGTTAAAGAACGTCTTAGCCGTGTCGGGCGTAACAGGCTATATAACCTTGAGCACCAAAGCACTTCATCACTAATGTCTCTAATCCTTATCTCAGCGCCATCAATATATTGGAGGATAGTAGGCGACAGGCCATCAAGTGCAGCTTCCGGCCTGGGTATACCTCGCCAATCTATCGGGGATATGGGAAACGATCCCAACTGGCCTTCTTTTTTAGACAGAGTCTGTGGGATGCTGGCGGTTGTGAATCGTGCCTCTTAGAGGCAGTGTGGCTTAAGCCGATGGCCGTTAGCGTCCTGCGACACATCAAAGTGCTTCGCTACTTCACTTCTTCACATTAGAACATGGTTAAGGCTACAGAGTGTGTTATATCCGCTGGCGTCGCTGTCAGCGTACAGTGGCAAAAATTTCAAAATGGGTCACTCAGCATCTTACTAACATCGACTTTTCCCGCTAAAATCGAGTGGACGCATTCAACACGCAATTTAAAGACAATAACATTCAAAGCGCTTGCAGTTGACCAAAATGCAAATAGGCTCACGGTTAACCAAAACGCAAATGGACTGGTTGACTGGGACGCAAATAGGCTTACGGTTATCTAACCAAAACACAAATGGGCTCACAGTTAACTAAAACGCAAATAGCCTAGTTAATCAAGGACCAATGGAAACCATCAACAAGGCCAACAAAGAAACCGCCAAAAAGCTTAATAAGCTCCATAACAAGGTTAACAAAAAATGGAAAACGTTGCTTCAGAAAATCAAAGCCAACCTCCAGCTATGGTCGCACGACCCAGCCGTATTCTTTAATACCATCGAATCAAATTCTATCCAGCAGTGGTCCTAGCGTTCCCTATATAACTCGCACAATCAATTACATCAATACCAGGCTCCTTTCCACAAAGTCAACTTGGCGTATAGCCTAGAGAACCTCACCAAACCCTCAAAGCAGAACAATCCCGGTTTTCTCGACATCAACTGCCGGAAGGCTATAGTGGCAGCTGTGCATCCTAACTACAAGAAGGCAACGCTAAAAGATCGGTCGTCGCTCCTCAGGAGCTTCCAGAGATAAATCGAACGTGGGGACGTCCTTCTTTCGCTTGTCCGGAAATATGGCGCGGGAATTCTATTAACAATTGCTCTGATTCTCTCAGGAGATAAGTGCGTTTATCATCCTATATCATTTTTTCGTTAGCTTATCCTCACGGCCTCAAATGAATATCCGAGTCAGATATTCCGACTTGCCCACCCCGGCCACCTTAGCTGCAAGATTCGAACAAATATAAGCCTCTAGCTTTGCGGTTACTAAGATATATGCAGATTGGTATGGTAAACCACAAATATCCAACACATTAGCTTATGCTCCCCAGATATCCCAAAGGAAAGAGGCATACAAGAAGCCTCAATAAAGCAGTAGCGACTATTTCTTCTCCAAAGGACCCTCGAGCAGGACCCTTCCCCATCCGCGGGGCGTACGCCAGAATAATAATAGTCCTACGTAAACGCCTCTACAAGAATATTCGGAAGGGGTTAGGTGCAAATTACCCATCTAAACAACACATTCTATTATTAGACACTTAGCCCATCGTTCCTCTTCCAACCCCAGTGGGATCTTAGGAACATATAATCGGTGAATCGGTACGTAGCAGTTCTGGGCAGCATTGCAAAAGGGAAACGACTTCCCATTAGGCTGAATCGCCAAATAATGAAGTTTCAACTATCACTTAAGAGGCGGACTTGGACGACGATAGGTTATCTCCTACATTTATAGACAATTATCTGAAAGATTGGGAAACTATTAAAGGATGGGATGCGCGGAATTAGGAGTAGAGCTAGATCCCAATTTAGCCTGCTAGTTTAGTGCCCTTAATATCTGGCTTCTCCTTTAGTAGTGAATCAGGAAGCAGTATAAAAAAGAAAGGAACATTATTTAGTGGCTTAAAGCCGACACTTCTATTAATTACAGTAATGCCTAGAACTAATTTCGTTTCTTTGCAGCATTTTCCTTTCCTTTTAAATGCCTTAAATATTATTAGCTAAAGCGCTTTAACGATAATAGCAGGTATAAGTAAGCTAATTTGGTTGGGCGTTATAGTAAGTAAACCAGATTTACAAAGGAGCAACGCTGGCTTTTTTTTCGGTTTCTTTAGGTTTGTGCTTAGTACTGCGTTCTTAATTTTATTAATCTAAATATAGATTAGCAACTGTAAAACGTAGCTTTTTTCGTATATACTTGTTACGAGCATAGCCTAGAAGGAGACACCGCTAAACTTTAAGGACGAGTATTCCGGATAGATTCGAATACTAGAGATTTTAAGAGATAAGGTAGCATAGTGGATAGAATATTACAGGACAGAGGTTACGTAATGGATTATTAAATTGAGAATAATTCTATAATTTAAATTGTTGGATTAAGAGTAATTCTATAATTCGGATTACGATAAATCGGATAATCTAAAATAATTCAACGAATTTCTTAGGAGTTATGTTACAACCCGCAATATAAACCACCCGAGCGCAGAGGCACTCGTGGAGACAAGTAAGCAGATAAGACTGATTACACAGGGCCAAGTCACGGGACTACGAGGGTCACGTATAGGACGAATAGGGATCCTGGATTCCCCCACGGACTGCTGGTGGATGGGAACGATCTAAGGACAGGACATCACGAGACAAGAGGTCACGTGTCGGCTCAAGAGGCTCGCAACGAGCAGGAGCGAGCTGGCTCGTTGAACTCGCAGAAGAGCAGGCAGAGGACGGACTCGCCCGGCTCGTAGACGAGTACAACGAGCATATAGATTTCTTAGGACGGAGCTTTTATATATAAGGACGCTCCTTTGCATAGATAGGAACCTTATATTTAACTTAAGACTTTAATACTACCTATTAGAAGTAACAACCCCGTTTTATACCTAAAATTAATTTTACCTTACCTTTTAAAAACTATTACACCCCGATAATAACTTAACCTATACCCTGCCTTAGTATATAACACTTAGAAGGTATAGAAAAAATAACCTATTATACTTTAAATACCGCTATATTAAAGAAGTCGCATATAAACAATTAATTAAAATAGCCTTACTAACCCCTTTAGGCAGTATAACTGCTAGACTAACTTTAACTATACCTAAGGTAGTAATATATATATAGGCACTGCTTACACGGCTATAAATACTAGAAAAAGTAAATAATACTAAGAATAAGAAAATTATAGCTCTATAGGAAAACCTCTAAACTATTTAAAAA